TTGTGTAATAAAGGAGTTATACAAAGGCATGCAAGCCAGTTTAGTCAGTGCAAACCCAAGATAAGTCCTTCGGAATCACAAAAAGCCACAGAGCCAATACAGTGGTGAGGCGCTCACTTGAGAAGTCTCGAGTAAAGAGGTAGCACAGATCTTTGACGGTACTATATGCAGATTATTACCTGGAGAACTGGATAAACTGAACGGGACCGAAGTGTTCAGCAAGGCACTCCACCAACCAGGCCGCCAGAAGAGTAATCAGGGGAAAAGGACCCAATTGTAAGGACCAGAAGCAGGTCACAGCCCTTCCAGGCCATCTGAATTGGTAGTTTGGAATTGATGGAATGACCAGGAAAAGTCTATAGGTGTATCGGGGTTTGAGTGAACTCTATAAGGGCAGTAGTAGGTAACGGTAGTGGCTTTAGCTCGCAAGTACTTGGTCTTGGCCTAGGCGTAAGTTACCAAAGAAGACTAGGTAATATGAAAATAGTGGGTACTAGACTGTTCTAGCAGGTGATGCACTCAAGGATGAATTGGTTAATTATGCCGGTAGTCCTATAGGTAGATGCGACGATCTCAGAACTTGGACTAACTTATATATCGCATGTTCTGGGTGAGGTTAGATGGATTAACATAGGAAACTCAGATTAGAGGATTTAATTGGGTAGCTCAAGTAATAGTGGGTTACAGATACGACATCTAGTGTAGCACCTAGTACATAGGTAGTATACTTAATTAGGCACTCAAAAAGTGCAGATATGGCTAGAATGTATTTTCGTCAGAATGTACTTGTCTGGGGCCCCTTCAATAAGGGCACCACATGATTCTAATATCTAATAAAAGCGATAAGCCAAAGAGGCTAACCTTGAAAAAAAAAAAAATTTTAAAAATAAAAAAGTGTTTTAAAACAAGGTTTGATACTAAGTAAACTGGTAAGGTCACTTAAGACAACTTTGTTCTTTAGATCTAGATGGTTCTAAAGATGATAAGATCATTAAAAATGGCCTAGTAGATCTCTTTCTACAGCCTCTTAAAGTTTTAAAACAATTGTTTAAATAATATAATTTATACAAATAATTATTTTAAAACTTTAAGAGGCCATAAAATGAGATCTACTAGGCTGTTTTTAATAATCTCACCACTTTTAGAACCACTTTAATCTGAAAAATAAAATTGTCTTAATCAATCTTGATAGTTTACTTAGTACAAAACATGGTTCTGAAGCAGTTCTTTAATTTATTTTATTTTTTTACTTAGTTTTGTTTTTAAAAAACTTCTAATAACTAAAAATTTTAGTTATAAAATAGATTCTTGCACTTTAATAAAAGTTTTTTTATAAAATTTTGCATATAAATTAAGTATTAACTTTAAATTATAAAATAACTTTAATATTAGTTTTTATTATTTTAAAATAATAATCAAAATTAATATATATTTAATTATTTTGATTATTATTCATATAAATTTGATTGGGTATGTTTAATAATTTTTTATATATATCGGGTATCAGATATGTGTAGAATATATATTTGTTATATATATTATATATATCTAGTACCCGATATGTGTAAGATATCTATTATCGGGTACCTGATATATATAATATAAGTGTATAGCAGATATACAATATATATATTATATGTGTATAATATGTGTATGATATCTTGTATTAACTTTACACAAATCAGGTACCAGATTATATATATCCTACACATATTGTACACATATTCTACACATATCAGGTATCAGATTTGTATAGGATATGTGTACAATTTATTTTATTTTGACTTGTATTATCATCTGATTTTTTAAAGTAGAGAGGTAAATAAAATATCAGGATATATATACAGTCTTCCTCCTCTATAATCACACAATTTGTATCAAGAAAATTGGTGATTATAAAAGATTGTGATTATATAAAAATTTTTTTATAAGTTATTTAATAAATTGTTTTAAAAATTAATGTGATTATATAGGAGTAGTGATTATATAGGAGGTGATTATAGAGGAGGAAGACTGTATATAAAACTTCCCTTTGGGTTCTAACAAAAAAATTCCTTGCCAAATTTACGATAAAACACACTTTTTCACACGCATACTATCTTTACTTCCCCTAACCCTAACAAAGAAAAGGGTTATTTATTGCAGCCTATAGTTACAAATATATTAATTCTAAAAAAAATTTACTTAGAAAAAATTTGCCTGATTTCTATTAACTCAACCCATATGTAAAATATATCATATATACCTTATACAGTATACGGTATGCATATGTCGTAGGTGGAAACGGAATTTAAGTGGATTTGGAATTTTTTAACAAACTTATAATTTTAGGATACAATTCTTTAATATAAACCTACACCCTAACCCTAAAAATCCTAATAAATTCAAATCCACTTAAGTTCCGTTACCACTTACAGCATATTATATAGTTATTTGGCAAGCACTATTATAGTAAGCTGCCGAATAAATGTTAATTATTTTACAAGAATATTGTTTAATTTTTGCAATTTTTATAAATACTCTTTAATTATAACTTTCTATTAAATTATTTAATTTGATATTATAATTGATAGTTATAGCTACTAAAAACGCAAAAGCTTTGTAAAAGAAATAATATTTTTAACTATTATACGTACAAATAAACAAACCTTTAGCATTGTTATCGGTAAAGTTTTGTCTATTTTGAGATCTTAAAATTTATTTTAGAATCTTTGAAACTAAAATTATATTAAGTGTAAATACAAAATTTCAAACTGCAAAAATAAAAAAAAAAAGCAAAGGATTTATAAAGTAAATAATATTTAACAATTATATTAAATAAGCAACTAATTATTAAGACAAATTCACAATAATTATCAATTTCTAATCTGATTAGTACAAATTTTGAAGATAAAATTCAAAACTATCACCAAAATCACAAAATCCATCTTACTAACCCTTCATTTTACTCTTGTAAAATTTCGTTTCTGGTGTAATGAAAATATGATAAAACTTTTATAATATTTACAAATATAAATATTACAAAGATATTAAAACATTTATAAACAATTATGTAACAAGTTGATAATATTGACTATGAATCGAATATTTAAAAAAAATTCAATTGCAGAAATTTTAATCTATTGACTGAAACTATTGTAAACCGCTTGAAAACCGCTTGATGCCAGAAAAGGCTATAATTAACTAGACAAAAAATTATTACTAAATCCATCTTATGATCAATTGGTTATGAAAAGGTTAGACGCACAAAAACGTTTCTAATTTGGTGCATTGTATTGGAAACAAAGAGGTCATGATAATGATAGCGGAATAACAAAAAAAATCATACTAGACAAAATAAGAATGCTTACTGGTGTCTACTATGTCCTATTAAAACCTAATTTTACCTGTGATACTCAAGTATTAATATTATTGTGATTGGCTAAGAATTAATAGTGCATACTATGATAAAATTAAATTCAATAGGGGTATAATAAGCACCATGTTGTTACCAAATGTTAGCTCCAAAGAGATTAATAAAGTATTATAGTCATTAAACAGGATTGGTTCTTATTGTATACTTATAGAATTTAATTTTATCTGTGTCAATTGCTATGAATCAAGATAAAATCCTTGAGCAGTTATTTCGGTTTGTTAAATGTGTCATTGCAAATACCCGACTACTTCTATTGCTTATTTATGTATTTATCTAAAGATTGAAACCAGCATGCATAAGTAAAATTAAGTTCAATAAGAATATAATAAGTATCCCCATCGCTGTCAAATTTTGGCTCCAAAAGAGTCAATAAGGTACTGTATTTATATTTATCCCTTATTGAACTCTTTTAGAGCCAAAATATGACAGCGATAGGATGCTTATTATAACCTTATTATACTTAATTTCACCTGCGATAAAATTTACGCACCGGGTCACCACCCCATTTACAAGGTCATTAACAGGTTACGAATAGTGTTAGCCGAAATTATTTCAAGTTTGTGAAATAGTCAACTTTTGATATTTATTATGCCGAATTCTAAAATAATTCCGGCATTCTAAAGTGATTCCGAAATTCTAAATATAATATAATTTAATCGAAGAATTAAAATATATAACAAGTGCTTCTGGGAAACTTGTTTATTTTACTGATTAAAGTAGTAATTATAAGTCGTTAAACTATTGTCATTATAGATCATGCAAGAATAATACCCTTATTTTCCATTGCAGGAAATTGCCCAGTAGATCTCTAGCGTGGCACATAGATATACGCGATGCACGCAAGCGTCTCTTCATCACTCATTTCTGGTATAACCGTTCAAGTCTGTTAAAGATTCGTACGAATGAATTTAATTATGTATAGTATATTGACTTATTCATTTACTATGAAATGTCAGATATAAAATGTGAAGCATTTTTCAGAATGAAAAAAATTATATCAACTTTCTTGAATTGTCTAACCATGAATATAATACATTCATTTAACTTTTTTCTGGCTATTCTCGTTCTTTTTTTTGGAACTATCGATGCCAGACATAAACATCACTACAAATCTACCAGAACATGCACTGTCGCCAGCACCAATATTAAAAACCCTAAAACCGTAACATCCAGTACACCTACTTTTATTTCTAGTGCACCTATTTCTACTCCTAGTACACTTACTTCTACTCCTAGTACTTCTTTCCCTAGTACACCTACTTCTATCCCTAAAGATAGTTGTTGTGTTTCTGGTGGACCTGGACGAAACGGTTCATATACTGCAGATCTAGCAAATATAGTACCTTATAGTTCTGCTTTAAATTTAAGTTCTGTAGAAGAATGCTGCAAATCATGTTACGATGAGCCTAGATGTGCTACGTATTATTATTCTTACAATGGTGCAAAAAGTGTTTGTTATTATTATGACACTTCAATAATGTGTGATTCTCAACTATTCCAAGCACCATTACCATATATGGCGATAGGAGAATTAGGATGTGGTTTTTGTAGGACATAATATTTAGAGATTTTATAGAGTATAAATAAGTTCATTACGGTATACTTATTTGCGCCTAACCCTTTTCTAATATATGTAACACATTTTCTATTTTAATAACCTATTTTAAATTCTATACAATTCGGTAACCCATTTTAAATTTATCATTATATATATGTTGTACGTCGGAATAGAACTATTTTAGATTTAGAAATTTAGAATTCACTTAGGTTGATTTCGAATAAACTTAGATTATAATATAATTTTAAATTGTATTCGAGTTGTTAAATAATTAAATTTCAATTAACAATAAATTAAGAGGATACTAAATTATTAGAATTCTTAATTATTTTATTGAGTATGTTGCTTTGGAGTTTAAGTCACTTTAATTCATTACGTTGTGCATAGCAAATTATACAGTAAAAATTTTACATTTATGATACTAGAATGACAACTAATACTACAAAACAAATTCATTTTTTATATTTATAACAGTGATTTATTCAGCATTATATAACTTCGAAGATTTGTAGATTCTTATAAAACTTTAATACAAAAATTAAAATTTTCATGTCGTGACTGAAGTTGCAACTCATGTGAGTAAAAATTTTTGATGAAAAGATCGTGATAAGCAACATAATAGAGCTATATATATACATATGTTGTGCCTCAGATCGATTTTTGCCTCAGGTGATAACTGAGGTATAAGACCCTAGCGTCACCAACTTAAAAAATTTCGCTAAAAAAATTTCGCAAGTAAATTAAGGTTAGGTTTTGCTATTAAGTTAGGTTAAAAAGTTTTCCTAATACCAAAATTTCGCAAGGAAAACTTTTTGTTAATGCGCAGAAAGTAGTTTCATAGGTAAAATCTTGAGTTATGAACGATTTTTGGTTTGTTTGATTTTTTGCGTTTTTTCGTGTTACACCGGATCTTGAATTCTGATTGGCTGGAGAAATAGTAGCGAAATTTTTTAGGGTGGTGATGCTAGGGGGGTTACTGAGGCACCTCAGGTATTGATCGCTTGGCCGGCAATAACTGATTGACATTAATTGGCCTAAACTATAGCCTAATCCTTACCCTAACTCTAATTCAGGCCGATCGACACCTGAGGCAAGAATTAATCTGAGGCACAACATATGAATGTAATGTAGCCATCAAAATATTAACAAGACAGCTGCGCAATACAGTTGCACTAGATTCAGTCTAGTGTTTTGTAAATTTTTCATTGATTATATATTAGAAATTTCGGAATTTTTTTGTAATCAAATTCAAATATTTTCATCCATCAACATGGCTCAATATTTTCTTTGCAAAGACTTTCGCCAGGTTTAGGTTTCGTCTTTTGCCATTTGTACCAAATGGTTTCACCTGATGGATCTTTTTCACTAATGTCTTTACCCTATAAAGTATTGCCACTGTAAAATGAATATATCCTGCAGAATGAAGTTTAATTTAGTTTGCAATGTATGTTCACTAAAATTTTTTCTTAAAACTTGTGAAGACTCCCATTAGTGAAATATTCAATTTTACATCTCAGATCTGGATTGTCTAATAAATATAACGAAAACGATTCAGTTATTCTTATGGTACTCTTGAATTCTGGTCAGCTAGACCGAATCGTTCAATTTTGCACAAGAACCTAAAATCTTGCTAATGAAATCGTAGCTCATTTACAAAGTAAAAATACCAAACTGATAGTTTTTTTATAGTCTTGGTTAGTTAGTATCGTTTAGCATCGCTGACCAGAAATTTTTGTAAAAAGCACTTAGGTTTAAAAAATATATCTAACGATCACCATATGTTCAGAAATGAAAAAATCAACAAAAAAACAAAAAAAAAGAGAGCATGAAAATACAAAAGATCCAGTGAATAGATACGTAAATTTGAATCGGGTCACCAATATTTGTGTCTAAAAACAAATGTTCTTTATCGTTTGTTATGGGACTTGTAATTGCAACCATGCATATAGTTGTATCGATTCTCACAAAATGAGTTTTTACGATAACATTACATATTCTGCCTGTTATGTGTATGATCCAATAGTACCGGTCACGTTAATTCAAACGTATGCTCATATATAAAACCACACGCAGCAATAGTCAAATCACGGGAAAAAGCAATAAGTATCAAGGTTGTATATATGTTGTACACCGGAATGAAATTATTTTGGATTTAGAATCAACATTGGCTGATTTCGAATAAACATAGGTTGTAGCATTATCTCAAAACTGACTAATTAAGCGGCGTGAGGTGTTTTAAGTAAAAAATGCTCTACGCCACCAAAAACCATTTCCAAAACATAATTCTAACTATAAGTGCTAATCCTAATGTAAAAAAATTGTTAAAAATTATATATATATAAAACTTAGAAAATTTAATAAAAGAGTTCAGGTTCCATAGCTTGATGGTTAATGCTTTTAAACTTTCACATACAAGGTTAATGGTTTAAGTTAGGCTGGAGGCAAATATTTCTGTAACCCAAAAATTGAATTATAATCAATTGTAAAATCTTATTAAAAATTCAAGTATAAGATTAACATAGAAATTTCTAAAATAGGGTTCTTCGAATATCTATGCTAGACATATAGATATTATGCCAAGCATCTGGTATATTATACCATGCCTATTTATAGACATAAAGATACTTGGTATTTTATAGGCATGGGCACAAATGCCAAATACTATAATTGGCATAAATACTAAGTACCAGGCATTATTATGAATATAGGCACTAATGTTTTTCTTAAGCATCTTCCTATATGATTGATAAAGTGATTTGATTTGCTAAAAAATAAATCATGTTTAATCATTTCAATCAAAAACCT